AGATCAAAGAGATATCCACACTCCCATGTCCATTGCATCACTCTTCACAAAGATATGAAAACAAACTAAAGGCCCACAAGGAAGGATGAATAGATAAAGAAAATGTGGTATATACATACAATGGAATCTTACTCAGCCTTAAAAAGGAAAGAAGTCCTGGGATGCCTGGGTGGCTCAGTTGGTTAAGCAGCTGCCTTCAGCTCAGGTCATGATCCCAGCATCCTGGGATCGAGTCCCGCATCGGGCTCCTTGCTCTGCAGGGAGCCTGCTTCTCCCTCTGCCTCTGCCTGCCATTCTGTCTGCTTGTGCTCGCTCTCTCTCCCTCTCTCTCTCTCTCTGATAAATAAATAAAATCTTTAAAAAAAAAAAAAAAAGGAAGGAAGTCCTGTCATTTGCAACTGCTCAGATGAGCCTGGAGGACATTATGATACATGGAACAAACCAGTCACAGAAGGACAGATACTACACAAGGTCCTGATAAGTGGAATCAAAAATAGCACAGACTCATAGAAGAGAATAGAAAATCAATGGTGGTAGCCATGGGCTACGGGGAGGGGAAAATGAGGAGATGTCGATCAAGAGTACAAAATTTCAGTTTTCAAAGATGAGTTCTGGAGATCTACCATACCACACAGTACTACAGCTAACAATACAGTACTGAGTACTTCAAATTGGCTAGGAAGGTAGATCGTACACTTGCCATTTTAACACAAAACGGTGAAAAGAACAATGGCAGTAACAGTGATGGGAGGAAACTTAGGGAGCTGATGCATAAGTCTATGGCCTTAGTGGTGGTGATGGTTTATGGGTGTGTACTTATCCCCAGCTCATGAGATGCCTATGTTAAATATACGCAGCTTTTCATAGGCTCATAATACCTTGATCAAGTAGTAGAAGTGAGCGATGGGCATCAGTAACAGAACAAAGTTCAGCATTCCAACTCAATCCATTAAATTCACTCTTCTTATTTCCTACATATCCATGGGCATGAGTTCTTATGTTCCCATTTGCTCCATTTTGTATCACTATTTCTTTATCTACTGATACTTGATGAGTTCCTACTTTGTGTCTGTGTCATTGTTAGGGGTTTTCAACATCCATCCACATATGGTTGGAAAGTGATGCTGAATCACATTCATGCCTCATGTGGCCACGAGACAAGAGGAAACCAGAAATTTTGGAGATTAGAAAATAAGCGATGGTACTGTTGTGCACACTGAGAGGACATTTGTATCATCAGGTAATGCTGTCTGTGACCACTGATCTACCCAACTCTCTGCACACACTGATATCATGTCCCCTATGCACAACACTACACTGTATTTGTTTCTGGGTAATGGAGGAGAGAGGTAGGAAAAATGCACTCAGTTTGAGTGGTGAGCTGTGTCTCTTTTCAGCTCACTCCCACCAGGGCCTTCACTATAAAAAGCAACATTGCTGAATCCACCCTCTAGCCTGACAGGAAGGACTTCCCTAATTGTAAGAACAAAAGCCCATTTTAAGCTAAACCAACATGTTTTATAATGCACCTATCATCATGCATTCTCTGTGTAAATTTCCCTTTTGTCCCTTTGGTAACGTGTAAAATTGAGAAATCAACTTAAAATTACCGAAATTTTCTAGATTGCTACATGCTGCCTCTGAGAGTTGCTGAGAGCCCTCTTGCCTGGCCCCAATTTTGAGCAATTTGGCATTTGTTGATTTCTTTCTATTTTTCACAATCAACTCAGCTGTTAATTAAACCCAGAGCAACATCTCCATGACGATGGGTCTGGCATCAGGAGACCCAGCAAAGAACCGCCCGCTACCAATAAATACAACGAAGGTGCTGACTCTTCTGTGGTCAGTGTCTGATGTGGGTTGTGGACTTCCGTCAACTGGCGTAAAATGGCAGAAGGAAACTGGTTGCATTTGGTCATTGTCTAAGTCCCCAGATCATCATCATGGCTCTGTCCCTGAGTAGAGATCAGTATCCTCTGTCCCATTTTGACCTTTCCCCTTTCTCCACTTCAGCTTGGGTTTTTTGTCTCCAGCAGCCTCTGTGCCTCTGTTCCTCTCAGGAAAACAAAGGGCAGATGGGAGTCCATCCCTGAATAACAGACCTCTGTCTGGGAGTGACCCCCTCTCCAACTGGGAAAGTGGACGATGGACAGGAGGTAAGAGCAAACATCTAGCTCCCAGTGGGACCTACGGTTTTCCATTTCAGGTAAGAGACAGAGAGGGGTGATAGGCCTATGCTGGTGCAGTGCCACTGAGAAGCAGAGATGGCCACGAGTAAGGCTGTGGTCTCCAAAGAATGCTATCCAGGACGGTTTAAGCTTTAAAGTGAATTTCAGTATAACTATGCATATAATTTTATACATATCCTAAATTAACGGACTCAGTGAGCTTCCTCAATTTACATCGACACTGTCTTGGTTCTGATTTAACTCAGTAGGGCACTCAGCAATATTTTAATCAGAAAATTTTTTGTTCATCAGAGCAAGGATAGTTACCATGAGATCTACCCTCTTCATTAATGTGAAATACATAATACTGTAGTGTTAACTATGGGCACAATGATGAAGAGCTGATCTCTAGAACGTGTTCATCTTGCACAGCTGGCAGCCATACCCACTGAACAGCCACTGTGCACTTGCCCTGACCCTGACAATCACCATTCTGCTCTGTGTCTGTGCGTTTGACTCTTTGGTTTTCTCCTCTATGTGGAATTTGCCCTTCTGTGACAGGCGTGCTTCACTAAGCATAATTCTTCCAGGTCCATGTTCTTGTAAATAGCAGGATTTCTTTTCCTTTTTTTGTTTGTTTGTTTGTTTTAAGTCTGAATAACATCTCGTTGTATGTGTGTGTTTGTGTGTGTGTGTGTGTACATCTACAAAATCCAGAATAATATTCTTTTTCAGAAATGATTGTGGTGTGTGGCGTCTAGACGATTACAGTATCTAATACAGGTCCTAGTATTCAGTGAGTTTCCTGCAAACAATTATAGTTGACAGACCCGAAGACACAGAGGTCCAAAGGAATGCAAAATCAGAGTCAGTCAGAAACACTAGCACAAGCTCATAGAGACCTGGTGGGCTCTGGAACAGACATGGGAGAAACTGCACAAAGATACACAAAGAGGAGTTCGTATCTCCATAATAAACACCTCGAGGAAGAATGATAACACAATTGCAATAACATTCTGAAGGACAAATACCTCTCTTCTGTTGTTGACACATCAACTTGGTCGTTTCTGGCCTTGGGGTCTCCCTAGCACTCTCTGAAGCTCAATTTCTTCATCTCTCAGATGAGACAGCTGGGCTAGAGGTTTAAGATCTCCTGTGACCATGACATTTATGACTCAGATATTTTGGAGATCCTCCTGGATAAGGGACAGGTGCAGTGTACATTTCCCTGTCCTGGTCAAGGAAACTATCCTATCAAGCCCCTTCTGAAACCGGTGGAGTGCACTCAGCAGTATGAAAGTCATATTGAAAAGCATCTGCCCGATTTTGATTCTAAAATGATAATGACAGAACTAATATTTGCATGACGCTTAACCATTGCAGTAGCATTTTCTCACTTATTTTGGAGAAAGCTTGAAAGTTAGGTTAGCTGATTATCAGATTGAACTCCATTATAAAGAGGAGAAAACTGATTTAGACACATCAGAGTCCCAGAGCCAATACATCGTGGGGTCAGGACTTGAGTCCACAGCAAAAGTGTTACAGAAATCCTGTCTTTAAGTCTTTAAGTCCTTTCATATGGAAGGAGAGTGACAGAATACTGATTTAGTCTGAGTTGCTTGGTGCTTGGGGAGGCACAGTGCACTCTGGGCTCTATCCAAGCCTGCTGAGTTTTAGAGTTAAGAGGCCTGATTGGTATGGACCTGCACTGGTCTTTTGGGGGAGGGTCTTGCCATGCTGGTTCTGATCCAAGTGTGACCAAGAAGGGCAATTATTCCAGAGTGCAAGAGTATAAAGTAAGAAGCAATGCAAGCCAAATAACCAGTGTCTAGGTCAGCCACCCTCAGCCGGTATTTCTGTGCCTATGCTGAATGGTGGGGGAAGGAAATGGTGCCTGTGAGCTCCTTTGTACCTGGAGAGGGAACCTCACAAATTCCACTTTTCACAGATGCACTCCAAGAGGAGTGAACCATTTCTCCCCATGCACCTTAGGTGGTCCTCAGATCATACCATCTGCCCCCTGGCTGCCTTCCTTCCAGGAGGAGGGTAAAACCCTTGGGATTCTATCCCAACCATGTAAATGAATCTAAAACTCCAGGCTTTGAGTCCCACTGGTTGCAAAACTCATCAATTCAGCCCCTCTCATTTCTTCATGGCTTTGGAGAAGTGTTCTCTTTGTGTATATCCCTATGTGCTCTGCTGTCTCTCACCCTTGTATACAAACAAGTCTCCCTCTTCACTTCAGCATCCACAATCCTTTCCTCCCCCATACCACATCTCCATACTTCCTACCTTCCTCCAGGTAGCCTCTTCACTCCCTCTATTTGTGCAACTTCTTTGCCAGTCCTTAGGTCAATTTCTTGGGTATTCAGAACAATTTGGCAGTTAGCTAAGTGTGTTCAAGGGATAAGGCAAGCCCAAGGTCCTCCTACTCCACAGCCATCTTAGCTCCTCCTCCTAAGCCTTTTTAGAACAAGAAGAGGAGGAAAGCTAACTTTTAGTGACAGACACTGTGCGATATATCTCCTTTAATCCTTCAACAGCATTGAGAGGAATATATTATCATGCCTGCTTTGTGTAAGAGAATATTTAGGCCCTGCGATATCAAACAACTCATTGAAGACCACACAGATAACATTAGCAGAAAATATTATGACTTAAACACGTAGTGACACATTTGGCCTAAATGTGTGTGTACATTTGAAGATGTTCTAATATAAACTCATAAGAGAAAACCAAGTCTTTCCTTTCTGAATGGCCAGCTGTAGATCTTTGTTCCTAAGGCTGTATACCATTGGGTTCAAAGTGCAGTAGAGGTGATATAGATCACTGTCACAGCCTGTCTTTGCTTGATGAATATTTGGCTGAGAACTGCACGTAGACAGAGGAGGCACAGCCATAGTGGACAATGACCACAATAAGATGGGAGGCACAAGTGGAGAAGGCTTTCCACTTGCCTTCATTAGTTGGGATCTTCAGGATGGTATGGACAATGAAGCCATAAGACATGCAGGTGAAGATCAAGGGAACAACAAGTACCAAGATGCCACAGATGAAGATGACCAGCTCATTGACATTGGTTTCAGCACAGGCAAATTGGATAACCAGTGAAATATCACAAAAGTAGTGTTTGACCTTGTTGGAGCCATAGAAATGGAGGCTGAAGACCAAAATTGTTCCCACCAGAGATATTAGGAAGCCACTAACAATACAAGTTGATGCCAGCTGTCCACATACCCTCCAGGTCATGAGAATGAGGTAGTGCAAAGGCTGGCAAATGATGGAGAAGATGGTGAGGTTCGAACACAGGATGATCAAATAGAGGCAGAGAAAGAGCACAAAGAGAACAGGCTGCAATTCACTGAAGCTGGAGAAACCCAGTAACAGGAACTTGGAGACCTGGGAAGAAGTGACCATGGAGAGCAAAAGTCATGGAATAAAGTCAGTATGATCGCCAGGTCCAGAGACCTCTGGGATGGAGGAATCAGAGAGACTTACCCTTCATAATGTAGCCAGCACCAGTCTGATGTGAATGAGAAACAAAGGGAAGGAAAGGGAAGAAAAGGATTATAAATTAACCAAAAATTATCCCAATAGGTACCCATGGTGCTACTTCTCTGCCAATGATTTTATCAGTGAGTCTGGGATTAGTGTTCTCACAAAGGCATGCTGACATAAAACCTATCCTTCCATCCCCCCCAACTCTTGCAGACTTATGTTCTCGCCACTTAATTCTTAAGTAATCTAAGATTCAAAAGAAACATTATGTTAATTATGATTTTCCATGGTCATAGTTTTATCGGTATTGCTGATACATATATTCCATAAGCAATAGCACCAATGTCTGAGGATCTGCCTCTCACCTGCTTTTAATACATTTGGACAATCTCTTAGAAAGTTAACGTATATTTACTACATGACTCCACAATTACACACCTAGATATTTGCTTAACAGAATGATAAAACTCCATGCATTATGGAAATGTGCGCTCACAAGTGTTTGTGCAGCTCTCTACCTAAGAGCTGAAAACTGAGAAAGAGCTACACGCCCATCAGTGGGTGCCTGCCTAGACTCACTGCAGTGTATTTACACAATGCAACAAAAAGAATGAACTCCAAAGTCACACACATCGTGGATAAATTTCAAAAATATGCTTAATGGAAGAGGCCAAAAAGCAAAAAGTACATACTATGTGATTCTATTCATATGAAATTCGAGTATTGTCGAATGCAGTGGTGGTCTAGGGGAGTGATTGGGAGGGGGGGCGTGTGGAACAATTTCACTGTGATGGAAATGTCTTATATCATTGTGGTAAGTACATGGATACACATATTTGTCAAAACACAGTGGATCACACACTTAAAGTGGGTGTCTACTATTATATATAAATTATGTCTTGATATCTTTGGTTCAGGGATGAAACTTAAACGAACCCGACACTGTGTATTAAAGCTAAAGCTGGAAAGCAGCTAGAAACAAATGTGTGAGGTTTCTTTCACCTTGGCTTAGGAAAACGTTTCTTACACAAGACCCGAGAAGGACTAAACATAAAACCATGCATTTATAAGTAGACTTAACCAAAATTGAAAAGCTCACTCTCATTAAAAACACCATTGAGAAAACAGAAATGCAAGCTACAGACTTGGAGGGAATATCCACAATACACGTATCTTACAAACAACTTTAATCCAGTATTTATAAATACGTCCTAGAATTCAACAATGAAAAAGCAGTCTTATTAAAATAGGCAAAAGACTAGAACAATTTTCTAAAAAGACATATGAATGACCAATAAGAAAATGAAAAAAGCATTCAACACAATTGGATATCAGGGTAATACAAAGTAAAACTAAATGAGATGCTACTTACCCCCCACTGGAATGATTAATATATTTAGGAAACAAAAATGAAAACAAAAGCAGAACAAAACACCTGGCAGTACCGAAAGTTGGAAAGAATATGAGGCAACCGGTGGGAGTATCATGTGGCACAACTGCTTTGAAAAACACTGGGCAGCATCTTATAGAATTAAATATATATATATATATTTACCCAGACATAAGAGAGAGGTATAACAGCAATTGTCCGCAAAAGACCTTTACAAAATATGATCATGGCAGGTTTATTCATAATAGCCCATTGGAGTCAACAACCCAAATGTCTCTCAACAGATAAATGGGTAAGTATATTTTTACATATTCATACAAGAGAAGACTATGCAGCAATGAAAGAATAGAATGCCATGATTTTTTTTTCAACAATAAAAAAGAAGGAAATCCTGTGATTTTCAGCAACATAGGTGGAACTTGAGGTCATTATGCTCAACAAAACAAGTCAGACAGAGAAAGATAGATATGTATGACTTCACTTATATGTGGAATCTCAGAGAGCTGAACTCAGCCACCGAGAGTAGAATGGTGGTTGCCAGGGGGGAGGGCAGAAAGGATGGGAGATGTTGGTCAAAGTTCACATAGTTGTAGTTGTAAGATGAGTAAGTTCTGGGGTCTAAGGTACAGCATGACGACCTTAGTTAACAACACTGTTGGGTTATNTCTAAGGTACAGCATGACGACCTTAGTTAACAACACTGTTGGGTTATATACTTGAAAGTGGCCAAGAGAGTAGATCTTAAATGTTCTCACCACATACACACAAAAGGTAATTTGTGAGGAGTTGGAGTTGTTAGCTGATCTGACTGTGATGATCACTTCACAATATACACGTGTGTATCATTGTTACATCACACACTGTTATCTCACACAATGCTATAGGCCATTATATTTCAATAAATCCAGAAAAAGGAAATCAATACTGTGTTGTCTCAAGGCAGGAAGCAGCTGGGAAATGGCATAGAGTAAGATTTAGGGTGATAGAACTGTTTTATTTTTTGATTGCTGTGATGGGTAAGTAGGCAAATGTATTTGCAAAAACTCACTAATAACTTACACTTAAAATACTTGACTTTTATTTATGCAAATTATTTCTCAATTTAAAAATAAGTTAAGGGAAAAAGTGAATGCAAAAGGGAAGTTAAAATCTCCATGACCACATTTTTAAGAATTGAATCAACAAAATATACTCAAGAAACTCAAAATACGGTATTAAAAACTGAGAAGGAGAACACAGTAGAAAAGACATGAGAACAAGAAGAAAAAATAACTCTCAGTGGTAAGAACCTAAAAACCTATTCCCCGACCTGAGAACATTGTCCAAAACTAGGAAGCTTATGGTCTCTGGGAACGGCTGGATAATTTCTGGTGACCACTCAAGAGGAGCTCCAACTACAAGGATAGCGGTGTTGTGATGTGACCCAGCCTCCCCTCTGGGCATGCAGGTAAACCAGTCTCACCAGAGACTGAGTCAGATGAACTCAGACAATGATCACACTCAGATCACCCACAAAGTTATGACAAGGGAAAACCCAGAAGAACAACACCCCTATTGGAATTAATGGTGTGCCTGTGTAGTGACAGTGATACGCAGGTGTTCCTCCACATAAAGGCTTAATGCCCCATGGGGGCTGCGCTATGGGTGGGGAGGCTCCATGCCTACATGAACACCTTGCCATAAGTATCCTCTTTCCCACAGCTACCCACACCCAAACATTGACTGATGTAAGTTCATAAAGTTCTGGCCATCTTGGCCCAAAGCAGAGCCCCTCTGAATGGTCATTGTACTATGGAGCTCACCCCCAGGGCAGCTGACGTTGCCCCTGGGAGTCCCTTCAGCATGACCATCTTCTCTGCCCAGGGCAACTGTGAATCCCATGCATTTACTAATAAACATCCTACATGCCACGCCCTCTCAGAGTGGGCTTCCTGGAGAGTTCACCTGGAAAGACCCTGGAAGATTCACCCGTGAAACAGATGGAAACTCCTACCCAATATTTCAGAATAAGCTGAAAAGTGTTAAAAAAAAGTCATAGAATGTGCAAAACACTAGCAAAGATCAGAATTTAAAAGAATTCAGTTGTGAGTGATTAGAGGAAGGGATGTCTTGGAAAGCAAAAGGATAGATCAGGAAGCAGCTAGAAATGAACCAAACACCACTTTGTAAATGAAGTCTAAACTTGGGAGAGCATATGCCTAAATAAACATGGTGGATAAGGCCATCAATGGGAAAAGCAGATATGAAAGAGGAAGAACTAGAGAAAGGATGAAGATGATTCTGGAGAATGCATCCTCTAGATTTCTGTCCTTATAAACCTGAAGTGAGCGAAGCAGCAAGGCATGCCATGAGAAGACACAAGGGTTGTTTCTGTTGGAGAAAGAAGAGAGAGTGATGAGATGTTAGTGATATTCCAGGTGTGAACTATTTAGGTTGACTCTGTCAAATTTCGTTGCTGTGCCGAACATGATTTGTACACTTTTCTATCAGTGAGTTTTGCTTTCATAAAAAGTGAACATGATACACTGTTTTTTCATGAATGAAATATGTTTTATATGGAGGTATTAGCAATATTTTCTGTTCTCTCCATTTTTATACTTCCTCTGAAAATATTTTGTTCTTACATCTTGACCTCCATGTTTCACATTCAAGCCTTCTTTAAATGTCTGGCAAGCCTTGGATGTTCACATATATTCTGGACTCTAGGACTGAAAAGCTTGCTAGAAGCTCTCTCCATGGATGTTCCTAAGACTGGTGGGCTCTCTGTAGGAGGAGAGTCAGGCAGAGCAAAGTTGTTCATTTTGTTGAGGTGACTCCTGACTTCCAGTCACCTCTGGCAGAAAGAGACGGTCCTATTTCCCTTCTGGAGCCCAAAATGGGGAGAGGCCAGTGAATCATCCATGCTGTGGGCACACACACTCACCCCTGCTTCAAGTACAGCTCCTGCTGACCCACCTCTCCAGAAAGGAAACCCCCAGGCTCACCCCACATGGAAGAAATGAAAAACAACCCTATCAGACAACAATCTGCGGGCTGGTCTCTGACGTCTTTCTTATCAGCTTGTGATGAGATGCAAAGCAGTGAGGGAATGTTATAGAACGTAACATTACTGAGACATCCCGTCAGCGCACACACACCTTTTGCACAGAGAATAGGATGTCAGATGTTTCTTCCTTCCGTTTCTCTAATACTTTCTTTATTTATATTTTAATTTAAATTTTAGGCAGTGGACATACAGTGCAATATTGGTTTCTGAAGTAGAACCCAGAGATTCATCATTTGGGCACAAACCCTAGTGCTCATCACAACAGGTGCCGTCCTTAATGCCTCTCCCCCATCTAGCCCACCCCCAGTCCCCTCCCCTCTTTCAACCCTCAGGTTGTTCTGGGTCCTTGGCAGTCTCTGATGGCTTGTTTCCCTCTCTCTTCTTTCTCTTTTCCCCCTTCTCAATGTTCGTCTGTTTTCTTTCTTAAATTCCACATATGAGTGAGATCATATGGTATTTGACTTTCTCTGACTGACTTATTTCACTTAGCATTTTTATTGTGTTTTACCGAAGTATTGGCTTGTGGGGAAATGGGCAAAGAAAAGAAATCGGTCCTTTCTGCAGGTGATCTGAGCAGTACCGATTGAGAAGCTGGGCTCCTCCCTGAGACACTAACCAATCTTGCTCATAACCACCACACTGGGTAACTTGAGTGTGAGGAGGATGTCCAGACGCAGTTCTGTGCTGGGACCCGCTTTGTTTTCGGTGGGTTTCCCACCTTGTGCAGGTTTCCCTCCTTTCAGCGTTGTCCCTTCTGCTTAGAATCATTTTTCTTTTCCCTTTATAATTTTTTCTATCCTTCCTGTATATTATCCCCTCCTATTTGCTTCTTGATGAGAGCCTTTGTGTTTACTATGTTAGTGGGTTTCAGAATAAAATGCATCTGTGGAATCCCAAAAAGTTTACTTAACTTTAAAAGATAGATTTCATAACAAAATTTATAAGTCAGTATTGCCAGAAATATAATTGTGAAGTTCTTGAAATAGCACAATGAAACAATGACATGTACACACAAAACAAATCATGATCTTGCATAGTAAGATGGCTTAATTACAAAATCCAGACGATATCTACAATAAGATAGTATCTTAATCTAAATAAAAATATTTCATAGGGAAAATTTTGGGAAAAAATTAAAATGCATGAATTCTAAAAATACAACTTGTACCAGTCACATTCTGTCACTAATACACACACACACAATAAATAAATAACAGAAGTTACTTAAATATTAGCAAGAAAATATCTATCATAAATAAATACCTGTTCCTAAAAAAATATTTGAGCAATAAATGACAATTGCAAACATATTAGCAAGGAAATTTAAAAAAGGACAGAATGAACTAAAGGAAATGGCCCACGCCATGCTTACAAAGATATATAGTGCTTTAATTGCCTTAATTATTTAATGACCAAGAGTGAAAATAATATAAAAAGCCTTAATCCAAAACCTGAGAAATGGGAGATAAAAATAGAAAGAGAGGTAATAATTTTAAAATATGAGAGCATTATTGACGATTATACACTTGAATTTGAAAATCTAAATAAATTTAACAAGAGAGTGCAGTTACATTTTACTGGGAAATGGAGTCACATGTGAAACATGAACTTCGGTTTCAGTCATGAGGCTTCTAAGAGAATATCGATATGCTGTGGTGTGTCCAGACGACCGTATACAAGAAGACAGAGTGTCTGAAATTCAGGTTATGTAGGTAATGGGTAAAGTCCTAATTGTCATAATCACCTCAAACATCTGTGACTCAAGGTTGGAGTCAGTGTATGACATGAGAGACTGAAAACATGAAAACTGTAGAAAGGCAAGTGTCTACTGCAACAAGGGGAAAGCAACAAGTACCGGGTCAGCACAGGATGGGTTCCCTGGGAGGTACTGTGGAACAACCTTCTGTACAGGGGACATGTGGGACAAGATGGCCATCAGAGTCATTGGGTACCTCCCCCTCCTTAACGAATTTAATGTGGAATGTCATGGAGACTTCTCCTCCAGCTTGCTTATGGGGACTGGATGGTGGATTATTTTTTCCACTCATTTATGTAGCGTATCTTCTATGTTACATAACAAGTGGTTCAGAGGGGTAGTCAGAAAAAGCACCTAGAAATACAATCTTCAGAGAACTGGAAGAAGAAAAGGTCCTTGCCAAGGTGCCCCAAGCCTTTGTTAATATGAGCTTCCGCTCTCTGCCACTGTACATTTTACACGTGCTTTCTTTCATCTTATCCGTTAGATATAAACAAAATCCCTGGGAAGTAGAAAAGGAAAATTATACTATCTTTATTCTCCATATTTTGAAATTCAGATTCAGAGAACAATTGTGACTTTCTTAACGCCATGGCTTAACCAGTGTTGGGCTGAAACCTTCTAATTCTTAGTGCAGTAAATGATTTCCCTATCAGGTGATGCCCCCGCGTCTAAGTCAACTTCAGACATGAGCACCTCCTTTTAAGCTGGACATAACTTTAAATGAAGAGAACCATCAGAGCTTCGGGACAAACAAGCCAAAGACAGAACAAGAGATAATGGTTTTTTAGAGACTTTTGAGAACTATAAGTCATGAGGGGGAGAGCTAACCTCTAGGGACCGACACTGTGCTATCTCCTTGAATCTTTACAAGAGCCTTGAGAGGAACGTATTACCGTGCCTGCTTTAAGAAGAGAACATTTAGACCCTGAAACATCAAACAAGTTGTCTAAGGCCACACACTTATATGGACAGATATTACCAGAAACTGTCATGGACTAAACATGTAGTGACACACTTGGCCCTAATGTGTGTGAAAACGTTCTATCAAGTCTTAAGAGTAACCCCAGTCTTCCCAATCATTTTCTGAATAGCCAGCTGTACATCTTTGTTCCTAAGGCTGTATACCATAGGGTTCAACAGTGGGGTAATGATAGTATAGGTCACTGTCACCAGCTTGTCTTTGCCTGATGAATATTTGGCTGAGGGCCGAAGATAGACCGAGGAAGCACATCCGTAGTGGACAATGACCACAATAAGATGGGAGGCACAAGTGGAGAAGGCTTTCCGTTTGCCCTCAGCAGATGGGATCTTCAGGATGGTATGGACAATGAAGCCATAAGAAATACAGATGAAGATCAAGGGTACAAGAAGCACCAAGACTCCGCAGATGAAGATGACCAGCTCATTGATGTAGGTTTCAGCACAGGCAAGACGGATAACTGGTGAGATGTCACAAAAGTAGTGGTTGACTTTGTTGGAGCCACAGAAAGGGAGGCTGAAGACCAAAGTTGTTCCCACCAGAGATATTAGGAAGCCACTAACAATACAGCTTGCTGCCAGCTGTCCACACACCCTCCAGTTCATGAGAACGGGGTAGCGCAAAGGCTGGCAGATGGCAGTGTAGCGGTCATAACCCATAACTCCCAGAAGCAGGCAATTGGTGACAGCAAAGCCGAGGAAAAAGAACATCTGTGTGGCACAGCCCATGAAGGAGAGTGTCCTGAGGACAGAGAGCAGGTTGATAAGCATCTTGGGCAGGAT